CAGGAGGAAGGAGAGGCGGCGCAACGCCGGATTGCCACCGGGTGAAGGAAGCCGGTGCGCTCCCTGCCCATCCCTGGTGTGGGATTACTTGGGAGTAAGTCCCATGGAAAATGCAGGTCTACTTGGGAGTAAGGGCCACCGAAGGCCCTGGGCAGGGCACGTGGGTCGGGGGGGCTCCGTGGATGGGGCGTGCAGCAGCGGCACAGGAGGAGGAAGGAGAAGTGGCTGGGTGGCAGAGCTTTGGAAGCCCAAGAAGCCTCCACAGAGGCTTCAGACTGGTAAGGTGCTCCTTTTTCCTTATAAAAAAGTTGTTCTGGGTGAATTTTGGAGGGTAGATTTGGGCTGGGGGGGGTTACAGTTCTGTGTTGTTTTGTTTTTTGGTGGGGTTTATTTGCACTCCCAGCACTCCAATGTTTATTTTTGGATATATATTTTTCAGTCCCAGCGTGGGCCTTGCAGTGTTTTATTTTTATTTTATTTTTATTTTATTTTTAATTTTTTTGGTATATTTTTCTTCAGCCAGAACGGATTCATCGGTTTTCAATGCATTCCTATGGGAAATGGTGCTTTGACTTTCGAATGTTTTGACTTACGGCCACCATTCCAATACTGATTAAGTTCGTAAGTCAAGGCACCACTGTACAGACATTGCCTATTCCCTCACCCAGGAAGATAAGACCGCTGGGATCAGACCTGGGGAAGATAGAAGAAAGTTTGAAAGGTGTTGGGACCGAGCAGTGCGAGCACATTATCGTCACAACTATGACTAGTGTATTTCCATATAGCTTATGTATGCATATGGGCATTTATTTATTTATTTATTTTTTTTTTTTTTTTTTTGTTTTACTTCTGTATTCTTTGTTTGTTTGTTTGTTTGTTTGTTTGTTTATTTTATATCCCGCCTATCTGGTCGGTTAAGACCACTCTTATAAGTAAGCCCTGTAGAATGTTGTAATAGGATAAGAAATGCTGCAGTATGTGATAAGGAATGCCGCAGTGTGTATTTGGTAGGCTAAGTTTTGCCACAGTGGGCTCTGGTATGTGTGTATGTAAGTAATAAATATGCGCTGACACAGAGCAGGGGTAGACTGATATGCTGGAACAGCGAACACTCCACACTCCATCCATGCCTCCAGAGCTGAAAGAAAGATCTTCTGCGTCCTGAGTTTTTCTTACCGCGCCGCTAGTATATCGAGCTGGTTTCTCGATGGAAAGGGGTAACGTTTGAAAAGACCGGGACTGTTTTGGCTGGAACAGAGCGGAAACCGCAGGTGGAAGTGGAGGCTGGCCTGGTGGATATAAAGAGGGGTGGGGAGGAGTTGCCGCCAGGCTGGGAATGGGTCTGGTTAGAAGATCATTGGACAGGGAAGGTGGAGAAGCTCCAGATACCAAGAGAGGAGGATGACACCCAGAGAAGGAGGGAAGCAACCTGTAAACCCTCGTATTGTGGAGAAAGAGAAGCTAAAGAGTGGAGAAAGATGCAAATGAGGGGACACCCCAGGGACCTTGGCAGGGCAATTTCCCCACCAGAAACCTGGCCTGGCTCAACGACAGAGACAAAGACACAGTCCCCTTATTGGAAGGGGAGACCAGCCCATTATTGAACCTGGGTAAACTGGCCAGGGCCATGGAACGTTCAAGGGAGAAACCACTTCCAAGCTGAAGAATGGAAACTTGCAGACACGTTGTTAGAAGGGGATAAATGTTGGGACACTTTTGCTGATACTGTTTTCCAGTTGAACAATCCAATAAGTTCTACACGAATTTCTAAACCTCACAAGTCTAGTGATTTTTTTTTTGAAGAAAAACTGGAGCCTGAAAGAGAACCCTCGCAAACAGAAAGAAAGATAATTGTGGAAAATTTTGAGGGAGAAGTAAAAGAGAAAGAATCTGAACTACATGAAGTGTAAGAATGGATTCCAGAATGCAGGACATGCAACAATGGGCTAAAGTTACAGGAAACCAGATTTTGGTTGAATATCAGAAAAACTTCCAATCTGTTAGAGCAGCACAACAATGGAACCAATGACCTCAAAAGGTGGTAAGTGCCCCCACACTGAGAAGCACTTGGCAGATATCCTTTGTTTTGTATTCCTGCACAGAGTAGGCTGTTGGAATTCATGGCCTTAGAGGGCTCTTCCAACTTCATGATTCTATGATCATCAAAAAGGGTCCGTGGATGAGGGAGATGGTCCAGCTTCAGGTCCTATAAGAAGAAGCAGGGAAACATCAACCTCCTAGAAAACCCTCTATTTGGGGGAAAGCGAGAATAACACCATATAGAATGTGAAAGGAAGACCAGGGAAGAGACTAGAGGGAGAAGAGAAAACTCATGGAATCCCACCCAGGAGATGATCCAGAGAGGAACCTCAAGCACAGGAGGAAGGGGATGAGTCGAGAGGAAGAGATGCCGAGGAAAACTGGGCTAAACATCCAGGCTCTGACTCCTTATGTAAGGGCCAATGCCAGTCTCCTCCCCAAACCAGTCCAGAGGCAACGAATGGACCAAAATGTCCACAGAAAAGACTCATCATTAGGTACCAGAGAATGATAGTACTTTTTATGTTATTGCCCTCTGACTCTGAGTCAGGATTTCTATTTCCATATTTCAGATAGTTTAAAACAAAATCATTTATTGGTTTCAAGGCAATTTTCATAAAACAATTAAGTTAAAATTATGATAAAACCATTGAAGTAAAAGACGCAATTAGTGAAAACAAAGAATCACAGAACACGAGGCAGGGAGATCCACACATCACATCCAGTCTTTGTCACTGTCTTCTGACATGAAGATGTTGAACCAGAGCATTAGCCCAGTTGACCCTCTACTTATTGCTGTAGAATGTGCTCAGGAATGTGGGGTTTGTGAACCTTGGGAGGAAGAGAACATTTCCTCCAAAGGATTTCCACATTCAAAGCCACCATAACGTTTCTTTCTATAAAGCCTTCCACAAAGGCTTAGGTCAACAGTAGAGCTGACATTGTCCCTTGAATCTCAGGATGACTCGGCTTTGAAGCTTATCCCACATTCTTCACAACAATACGGATTCTACCGTGAATGTGAACACAGATGTATGGTTAAATTGCAGAGACGGTTGAAACATTTCCCACATTCATCGCATGCATACGGTTTTTCTCTGGAGTGACTTTGTTGGTGTACTGTGAGGTAAGAGTATCGGGAGAACAATTTCCCACATTCTTCACACTGATAGGGCTTCTTTCCTGTATGAATTCTCTGATGTGCTCTAAGATTTTTCCTCTGGTTGAAGCTTTTCCCACATTCTTCACAACAATAGAGTTTCTCCCCTGAATGACGGCGCTGATGTACTTTGAAAGCTGATGGATCACTGAAACATTTCCCACATTCTTTGCATGTATAAGGTTTTGCCCCTGAGTGAATTCGTTGATGTACACTGAGGCATGAACAGGACCTGAACTGTTTCCCACATATTTTACATTGATAGGGTTTCTCCCTTGAATGTGAGAGTTGATGTGCTTTCAAAGTTGCGGGAGCAGTGAAACGTTTCCCACATTCATCACATGCATACGATTTTTCCCCTGAGTGAATTAGTTCAGTGGTTCTTAACCTTTGTTACTCGGATTCTTTTGAACTGTGATTCCCAGAAACCCCAGTCAGGACAGCTGGTGATGAAGGCTTCTGGGAGTTGCAGTCCAAAACTCCTTAGTAACCCAAGGTTAAGAACCAATGAAGTAGTTGATGAACTACAAGATTGGAGTTTTGGGAAAACATTTTCCCACATTCTTCACAGGAAAAGGGTTTCTCCCCTGTATGAATTCATTGATGTTCTCTGAGATGTAAATGCCACATGTAGCCCTTTCCACATGCATGACATTTGTAAGGACTCTCCTCAGTGTGCATTCCCTGATGTTGCTTAAGTCCAGACCTTCCCTTGAAGCTCTTGCCACATTCTTCACACTTATGCAATTTTCCTTCTGAGTGCACTGGCTGAGTGACTTGAAGAGCTGAGCTAAAACTGAGGCATTTTTCAGACCGTGAGTCTTCATAAGGTTTCTCTCCTGTGGGAAATGCTGGATCTTCTGGCCTCCTTCTGGAACTCTCTCCATGCTCCAAACAGTGACACAGACTTTCCTCTGTGTGGCATGTTGGACCTTTCCCTGGCCTTTTCCTCATCGGGCTCCTTAGCCCAAACTCTGAGTTCTGAAGGACTTGGAGGTGTCTTTTTATTGTCTTTTCCTCTTCTTGTTCACAGACAGATCCTCTCAGATAATGCTGAGGATTGTTCTTCTCTCTGTGTTTCGTATCATTTTCATTAGGTCTTCGTGCAATTCATCTCTGATCCCACAGTTCTCATTTTCATTCTCCACTCTTTCTGGGTATGTCCTGTGGAGTCCTGTGGCAAGAATAAACATTGACATCCTGG